GCCAAGTGGGGGAGTCTAAAATTGTAAGAAGACACATTATTTATAGTCAGTGAATCAAAGCAGCCACTATTGATAGTACCACGTGTACAAGCTCAGAATATTATGGAGCAGGTACACCGAGAACTGGGGCACTCAGGAAAACGGAAGACCGAACATGCTATCTGCCAGAGGTTTTGGTGGCCATCCATCCATGAAGGCGTTGCAGAATTCTGCAAAAATTGTAGCACGTGCTATGTTATTAAATCAACCCGACAATACCCCGTGCACCCTTGGTTCCAAAGACGGCAGAAGGTTCACATCAACGCGTTGGCATCGATATTATGGGGCCACTCACAACGTCAAAGAACGAAACCGCTATATGCTGGTCATGGTAGACTACTTCAGCAAATGGTGTGAAGCTGTTCCTATACCACAACAAGAGACCATCACAGTCACTCGGGCATTCATTGATCATTGGGTATCACAGTACGGCGCTTCCCTCTCACTTTATTCTGACCAAGGTTCAACTTTTGAAAGTCATCTCGTCGCCCAGGTATGTCGATTATTAGGAATCCGAAAAACACACTACCGCATACCATCCAGAAGGTAAAGGCTTAGTGGAAAGAACCAACAGGACTAACAAAACTCTCCTACAACCGTTTATCAATGATTCGTCGATGGAATGTTGGGATGACATGATACCCCAACGTCTGTTAGCTTACCGCGCATCATTGCAAGGATTTACGGGATTTTCACATGCGACCCTAGTTTTTGGGCATGAATTGCGCCCACACGTTGAGCTGCAAATACCGTTGTTACCATGCGAGACCCAAGATCATATAGTATACATCTGTAACCTTCGCAGCCGCTTATCGCTTAGCGAAGATCAACCTATAAAATGCCAGCAAGCACCAAAAGGAAGCGTACAATCGCAAGGCGAACGGACCTATGTATAAACCCGGAGATCGTGTGTGGCTGCACCGCACTTCGGCCCCACCAAAGACATGCAGCAAGTTCCATCACCCTTGGCAAGGACCTTACGAAGTTGTGTTTACGCGATCTCCTGCTACATTCGTCTTACGTAACCTCCAACGACCCCAAGACGATGTTATGACAGCACATTACAATCGATTGAAGCCAGACAGGACAACGATGCAATCAGATACCCCGTTTGTCGACTCTCCGATTTCCGTCAGCTATTTTGAAGTGACACCAGAAGGAGGGGCAGCACACCCATGTCCAGCACCAGGCACTGAGAATAGTGCCCCATGGAGAGATGGGGTAGTAACGGTACCAAAAATCATTACGTGTGACTTTACTAATGTAAGTTTGTTTTCCTTATTGCAGGGCAACAGAAAGTGAACGTACTAGGAGGAGGAACAAGCCTTGTGCAAGCTAAACCTGCAGGATAATGAGTAAATCTATTTCGTAATAAACTCCCCCCTTTTTGTACTAAAACCGCGTAATTCAATTTTAAAATATATCTCTGTTGTGCTCGTACGCTGTGTTCTTACTTCAGTTGCATCTGATGGTCCTGACTGTTGTTTCAGATCGCTTCTGCTTGCAAATAAACGCTCATAGTACGTGCTACAATGAATTCAGGTGTATGCTAAGTTAAACGGGTCGTCGCGGTTGAAATATCGACATCCTTATAATGGATGAGATACAACCTAACTAGTCAAGCCTAACCGCCAAACCAAAAATAATGAAGGAATCTGCATACCCCACAATTACAGGAAGTTGATACACTGGTAAAACAATAGTGACACGATGTCACATACAACTGCTGGTACGACCAAACAAGATAACGGTTCAATACATCATATCCCTTGACAAAAATCTTTCAGTTTTAAAAATTTCGAAGTTACTCCTACGTCCATCCAATTCACACAATTTTATCTAAGGAGATTGATAATTATGTATACACTTAAGCATGTTAGTTTGCCCCTTGTAACTTACCTAAGAAATGTCCCAATATCTTCGCAACCATCTTGTGTAAACTGGTTTCTTTGTGTTCGACTTTGTTGCATTAGTATGATTTCTGATCTTTGTTGACGTTTGGTGTAGGGTAGTCCAACCACTGGACTAAATTACTTCCAGTCAGTTCGTTTGTCCGTGTATTTTGAAATCATAGTATGCATATCTGAGGGTGGTAGTGTTCCCTACTCAAGCCACATGGATGAACAAATACGAAAATAATTCTCCTCTAATTTAAGGTAAAGGTCTAACTACTTTTTCAGGTCTTATCTTATTCTAGACTTCATTATAGAGGAATTTATCGTGCTCACCAGCTTATGATATCTCAGACCTCGCACTCATAGGATGATTTGTCTTCAGAGTAACATTGTGTAAGTTCACTAGCTACATGATTCTAGTAAAACTTAGCAGACTAATTCCAGTATTTAAACAAGATGAATGGGCCGACTAGTTTGATTTCAGTTTTACCAACCCCAACGTTTATAATATCACTTTATTTTTACATAACAATATGTCGGGAGAGGCATCCCATTTTACAAGCGCGACCAAAATACTACAAACGTTATAGGGTTTATGATAATTAGTTACACATTTAGGCTGTGTCAGATCCCCACTAATCTTTGTAAATTGCACAAGCAGTTGGAGATGAATATTTTGAGAGTACTTAAAAATAAGGAGCATCATTGATATTATTGAGGTAGTTTGTGTCACTAGAAAAACATTTAATATAATATTGTTGAATGGTCATGATATAGCTGTCTAATCTATATGAACTTGCTTCAGTCACATCATTTTTATTGCTGACTGACCTTATCGTGGCAGTTAGAGATATCACTTTCGAATAACGAATACAACCTTAGTAACTGAATGTAATATTTGATATAAAGAAGTACACACAGTGACCAGACTTGTATGGATGAGCGGCACAGTCAGCCTTCTTTGACCTTTCACTTCTCACCCACTATCTCTAGGCAAAAACCTAAAGGTAGCGTGCACTAATAATGAGTGACCCCTTGATCAGGGCTTGGTGTGACTCCACTGTCAGCACAACTACGTGGTTACCGCGCTTGACCACACAAGCAGATAATTATAAGTCAACGCATTTTGTATTTTGCATCTATCGCTGATTCCTCTGGTAACTTGTTTCCTAAGATCTTGATTCCAAAGTTTTTCTATACGATTATAAACAACTCTATTTCATATGATAGTGTACTGACTGATAAGAATAATTAGTAGTCTACATTGACGTCTCCGATCTGCCGCGGTTGGTGTGCAAGACGCACCCTAGAGGATCAAATATTTCAGATTTCCTCCTGGGTCATTCATATAAAGTGAAAATGAGTCAAATGATCCTGCTCAAAGTGAATACCAAATCTACAATTGTTGCAGAGTTGGATAAACCAGTTGATGGAAAGAACCTAACCTGGCAAATCTTAGTAATGGATAGGCAAGAGCAACGCACCTCATCTAGGACACGATATCAGTTAGTAGGATGTTTATACTTAACCAGATCGACTACCTAAAGGTGCTTTAAAGAGGGAAACGCTCTTAGTTAAAGATATCACAGGTATTCGGAGACTAACAACGCCTTTACACGTAACATCTTTATAATCGAAGTATACCAACCCAATAAAATCAGAAGTGATGTGGTCCGAAGATATATACGTAAGGTTATCAATATTACGTTAGGGTTGCAAGAGACGTGTAAACGAGCACCTATATGTGGTTGCGTTTATCAGAACTAATGAGGTCATTACCAAGTGTTGAAGAACTACAGAACAATGTATTTACCGCTACACAACTAACATCGAGAAGGCGAAATTTCAGCACTAAACCATTGGGTGTCAACCTTCCAGGGTCTTGAGTACATATGATGGGTGGTTCCCCATGCTGTAGTAGCACCATTCTGTATACCCTTAAACAATTCGTAGGTCAGGAAAGCCAGTGATCGCTACTGGAGAATTTTGTCAGTTAAATACCTGCCCCCATTGAGATACATAAGCTGTACAATCCCTCGTAATATTCATGAGTCAGTAATGACGATACAGGCAGTGCTCATTATTCAGGATGTTTAAATTAGACGTTAAAATAACTTTTTAGGCCTTCGCACGCATGAAAAGATGTGTAGCGAAAGTAACCTTATGACACCAAGTCTTATATGTCTCAATAAAAACCAACTTCGTAAGTGAAAACTGTTTGATTGTTGAATGAATTTGAGATATGTAATTCTAAATTATGATTTTGTCTCCTACCATATGTACATCAGACTTGCTCAAAAGTCGAGTGGTCTTCATATTATTTAAATAATTGTTAAACACTACCATTACTAACTCTGGTCCTCTCTAAATGGGAAGTCTTTTGAATAGGCTTCATTTTCATGTTCTCTATTACTCACAAAAAATATGAGACCTTGCCTTTATACGCTATTTCTGACTCAATAGTATTCGGAACTCAGTATCCCAATCAGTTTTCAAAAGTACGTTACATATATGTACTTAACATCGTTATAGCTTTTGGACCTAACATTAACGTACTGAAGGTCATGTGTGGGGTTGTTCATCGGATGATTATTGAGTACTCATCGGTAGTCTTTGAACCTACTCAGGCAACTTCACTAACCCTGGAGTAGCTTCAAATAGGCAGAAAAATATCAGGAATATATCGAACTGATGATGTGAGTTCCGAATGGACAACTAACAACGATAGAAAGTGCAACATACTGGTGGCAATTTGTGCAATTGAATGGAACTCATAGGTCACATAGTTTGGTAAACAATCGCCAATATTAACTGAAAAAAGCAACACATCTAACAGTCAAATACCAGTAACTATCCAGAAAATAACCATAGGACACTTCTACAAGAACACCAACTATTACAAACACTTGCATACGAGCGAAATCGTTTTAAGTTATGAACAGACTGTTACTTAATGAGTGTTGAAAATCACAAAGTCAACGACTCAGTTGTATTATGCTGCTAAGTCGACGGTCCCAAATCGTCTGAATGGATGATAATGACCCTACACTAGCGAAAACAAAACGTTGAGGCTAAAAAACCATAATACTTCTTCACAACATGGACAATTAGAAATGCAAGTATTTAAACAGTACAAAACGATGTTCCAAAAATAGTTCTCCCAGAGAAATCTTAAGTTATTGCTTAGAGTAAATTCGACACACCGAAATTTCAAATAAGAAAACTTAGTTTTCGGGAGGTAAACGATGAGAACCATATGTTACAAAATACTCTACAATCCTTGGATAAAAAGTGTACATAACAAATTGAAGTACACACAAGTTGACTTCCTCATAAAGGTATCAAAATGAGATTGCTATGCGTACAATGAACGAAGCTGTTGGAACACGCCTTGAACTTCAGGATGAGCTCCACAAATAAATTCATCAAGGTTATCCAGATAAGGTATTAATTGATCGCAATGCTGTGAAAATAAGTTGAGAACATAACTTTTATCGGGTTTCAAAAAACAGTTATAAAGTGTAAATTGTACACGTAATTTGACAAGCTAATTAATACACTGTACACTTATTTTATCAGTAACTGAATTGAAAAGGCGTTTCCAATGCTAATTTTGGTGCCACGATTTTTGTGAAGCCAGAAAGTGATTTGAAAAGATCTGTCTCTGAGACCTCAAGTGGAGAGAGTAATGAAGTTATGGGGCTATAAAAAGTGTGAGATGTAAACATTAACTGAATACATGTACACTAATTTCAATATACCATATACATAAGTGGTCACTGATCTACGAACAATGGACAAACATCAACTACTACATAGTAATTAAAGTTTCTACAATCGTAGAACAGTTGTGGGACGTTGCATTAAAATATTGTAGTTTTATTTTACGTATATATGATTAGGTTATTCATATAATTCAGCGGAAACTCATATATGAATAAAGTTACTATCTGACACCTTACATTTCGACAAACACTTGCAAATCACGACTAGAATAATATTCGATTTTATGAGCAGGAATAAAATAATGGCAACGTAAAATAAGACTTACTTCAAGAACCACTTGCACTAAACGACCTTTTAACCAGAACATTATATTTCGCAAAGCTTCGTCAGACAAACTTTTCGGTTGAGTTGGTTCATGTAAGAAAAATGGAGAATCCGTATTGAATGAATGGTTCTGAGTAGATCCAGACATTTCAGATGCAAGTTCAGCAGTAAGTCTAGCATGACGATGCAGAAGAAGTGTAATGACAGCACATTGACTACGAACTGCTTCACACCTGGCTTCTTCTAGTCTGGCTACTCGACCACCAACATTATCCTTTCCTCCACCATAAGCCTCATCGTCAGACGAAGAAACCAGTTCACAGCCTGCCATAAGCTTTCGTCGGTCACTGACTTTCATTCTCCCAGAAATGGAATCTTTCGGTTTCTTGAAGAATGAATCACTGTCAACTCCAGTCCGTGGGAAACTATCACCATCCCCTCCCTGGTCAGCGTCTTCACGGTCAGGAGTCGAATAAGGAGACTTAACAAGATTGAAAAACAAAATAATACATTTGTTTTTAACTTGAAGAAACTAGTACATGTTTGCACGGAAACAAAATTATAAATGGAGACCTACATACTTAGATAAAAGCTTCAAGATCATGACAACGGCTTATCTCTTAAGACGGCAAAGTTTACTAAACTTGCCTAAGAATCTAAAGAAGAAACAATATTCTGAATTAATATGATTTAAAAGGAAAGAAATGAAAACAGTACTTAGAAGTAACTACTTTTGCGAAAATAAAGGTCAAGAATGCTGATACTGGGTTTGGATGGTGTTACAGTATGTACGTTCTATGGGCCATCTTGAACGACGCTTAGCTCTGTGCTCTAGTTTCTATTTAAAAGGTGAATATCAAACGCAGGATTACGAAAATTGTGCTAGGTGCAGAATATTGATGATGACTTGGTTCTTACGGAAACTAACCATTCCGTCAACAGTGCCATGCTTTTGAGACTGATTTGATGGAACAGTGCTTGATGTCTAATACTTATTCGAAGATCTGATCCACCGTCTTTGAAAAACATTCAAAAAAGACAAGGGATTGATAGCAATTTTGATATTGAATGATAATAATGAGTCGCTCCATTTGTGGATGTTCAGTGATGAATAACCGGGTTTAGCGTTTTGGAGCAAACGTAACGTGCAATAAACATGGGTAGTTAAAAAATAATATGAAAATCGGGTGATTATTACTGACAGACAAAAATACACATGATGGTAAAAGTGCCCAATGACAAAAGTGAACAGACAAAAACAATGAAATACTTAGAATGTATGGTTTACGTTGTGGCGTGAACAGAGTGGAGTTACGAGATACTATTAGCGGTACAATTGTTCTAGAAAACACACTGCATACGCATGAGTCCAAGTTATCGACCAGCAATGTTAACAAAGTAAGAAACACGAAACAATTAACATGAGCAACAACTTACAGAACGCCTGTTAATTTCCATCGTTTCTTTTGCCAGTTCTAGTCTACTTGTAATTCGAGTAACTCGCCTACCAACACGAACAAGAGTTCGACTTAAGCACTCCCAAACGTAAAAGCTAAATAGTAATAATATTAATAAGTGAGTTACTCGTTCGGATTAGAAATAAGAAACAAAAATATTATATTATAAAGCTTCGCATAGAAGAGACTGTACTATTGCTATCTTTTCGATTCTGTAGCAAAGAATTTCATACATCTCTCGAAAAATATCTCTCTGCTAATCCACATATATCTTTGTGTCTGGTGGTTTTCTACTGAAACAGCTTTAGTTAAAGTAATGTTTTACGAGAAAATTGATCACTGACTACAAAAATTTGCTGTAATGTGACTGACTACAATGAATGAACGACAACTTACTAATGGTTGATTACCTTATAAAGAAACAGTGAATTATCAGACTTATTTTAGTAAGAATTAGTCATGCAGAAGATAAAACTTCAGAAAAAGTCAAGCGTTTAGAAAAAAACATACTCTTCAGTAACAATACTGGGTGGCTCAACAAATAAAATAATTTTTATCCAAGTATTTTTTACGCTGTAGGTATATAATGTTTGGTAAGTAATTCAGATGAAATGTCAAGTATAAAAAGCAGATGAAAACCATCATAAAGTCATCTTTTAACCATTATAGGTTAGTTATAAGCACTGTAGAATGTCTGACTCTAAAAACTCGCTCCATCGATGTATGCTACGTCTCCGAAGAGCACATACAGGATCCACGTGCGACCACTTATTTGACCTCATCTTGTCAACATAAAGAACCGGCACAATTTACCCTTTGATTATCTGGATACTCCACTGTTAACTCCCGTGACCTCGCTAGTGTAGGTATAGCATCAAGTTCCAAAGCAAAACAGGCCCTGTCACACTGGATTTTAAAAAAAAAACAGATACCTGTGCGCTGTTTGACTAAACGGGATAGTGAAATCTCGGAAAGATAGGGACACACACAGTTGGCTCTTCGTTTTTTTGCCTACACACTCATTGATTGCAGCTCGACAGAAATTAAATGAGTTTTATAGGAAGCTATCCAACCTCTTTCATAAAACTAAACACTCTGATGTAGTAATAGTGACAGGTGATTCTAATGCTCAAGTAAACTAAACCAAACTGAAAGGTACATGGATGGATCTTACGGTGTTGCAGCTCAACGAACTGACAATGACGACCGTGTATTGCAATTACACTCAGATAATCGTCTATTTCTGGCAAACATCAACTTTAAAAAGAAGGAGAAACATTATTTGACGAGGCAAAATCTACAATCGACTCACCGATGCACACAAATAGGCCACAGTGCCATTAGCTATAGTTAGAGGTGCTCGATGAAATGCTGTCGCTCAGACTAAGATTACGGTTCAGTTTGAGCACATATTTGTCTGCGTCTTACTGGACGTAGAAAAACCGGGGAAAGAAAACTCCTTAGAGTTTAACTTAACGATGAAAACGTTAGGAATATATTTCGAGAACAACTAGAGTTAGTCAACTGTGAAAATGATATCCACTCAGAGGAAGCTTGGTATAATATCCAAAAAGCTGTGAAAACAGCAGTGATATCTACTAGTAAATTAAACTGAAAAGTTAGGAGGAATCAGTGGGTTTAATTGTTGTCTACACAACTGATAGATGGTCGAAAACTCATCCTGTTTGAGTTGGAACACAATGATGAGCAGAGGCAGCTTAGACGTAGGCTGATCAAAAGTCTACGTAATGATCGTGAGCAGTGGTGGATAGGGAAAGCAAATCAGATGGGAAAGGCAGCAGCAATAAGTAATAGTAGACAGCTGTCCAGATTTATCACGAAAAAATGAGACTGTTATCCATTTTCAATCCCCTAGATTGAACTGGTGAGAATACTTTAGGAAACAGTTCAACTGACCTTCAGTTACCACCTCTAAGTAACCTTAGTAGTAGATTGATCTACGTCCCATAGCTTTTAGTAAGATTGAGAAGACTATGGGCGGTCTAAAGCGAGGGAGGCCAGGAATGCCTAGTGGATTAACCCCTTAGACTTTCAAGGAAGGTGGTCCAGTTTTAGCATTTAGATTAACTGAAATCTTAGCTAATGTCTGGAAACTGAACGCAATTCCACCTGACTGGTCTCGATCACCGATCGTCTCAATCTATAAGATAGGACAAAAAATCATGTGACAGTAACGGAGGAATTAGTTCAACTAATAAAGGGTCTAAAATATAAGCCTCAATAATACTTCGACATCTGGACGTGGATGTTTAAACTAAATATTCATCCTTCGGGAGGTTCTGGGAAATAAACATAATTCTCGACGTCCGACAATAATTGTATTTTTTGACCTTAAGGTACATTTGACTCTGTTGATCGTGAGGTTCTTTACCAGTGTCTGTTACTGAAAGTTAACCAAGCGATTACACTAACTTTGTGCAGGCTCTCTGCTCGAGTCAAAACTTATGACGAACTGTCATCAGAGTTGGTAATTTCAAATGTTCATCAGGAATGTCTGCTTTCTCTATTGTTATTTAACTTTGGAATAAACATACTTTTAAAAATAACACTTTATTCGTCTAAATTTTCGAGGATTGATCTTCAATCCGAAGAATCACTCTTTGACTTAGAATACACAGACGATATAGTTCTGTTTAGAAATGATGACAAAGTGCAGCCTTATGACCACATCAAGCAACAATGAAAGCGTGTTTAAGATGAGGTTCTCTTCCTCCAAATGTAAAATGTAACATCAGGATCACCTTCCGTCATCTCCAGGATTAGTGACAGCGAGTGAATTAGTTGAACGCATCGACCGTTTTACATATCTTGAGTGTCATCAGTCCTGATAGGCTGGCGTCCGATAAAATATCGATCGCCTTTCGTGGAGTAGGAGAGATATCCATCTACCAACCAAAGGACGAATTTACTACGCAGCAGTTTACTCCGCTCAACTTTATGGATGAAAAGCATAACCACGTACAGTGGAGGACATTTGAAGATTACTGTTATTCAATCATAGGTGTTCTCGAAGCACTGCTAGTGAATTTCGGGACAACGGAGTAAGGAATACCTGTGTTAGGAATAGGGTACTAGGTAAAGATAGGGACTCAGTTGATGAGGTACTAAATCTTCGTCAACTGAGGTGGTCGAAACATGTGCTACATAAGTCCAACAATTGCCTACCTCGATGGACAATGTGTGGTGCAGGATTGAACTAGAAAACTAGGGAGAGTCGAACCAAAACTTGGGATCAGTTCATGAAGTCACTGACTATCAGACTGATCTATATTAATAGATGTAAACTACTTGGTTGAGGTCCATGTGATTTCGTAACCAATGGTTAGAGACTTGGAATGACATGGCTCAAAATCGTTTGCAATGACACAAGTGCATCTATTCTTTGTCTTCCTGAGATTCTAAATCCCTCGAAACTTTTTTGTTTTTATTTTACTAGTTTATATTTTCTTTTTGAATCGTATCTTTGATGCCTAATCTTTCCTATTACCACTGACACTGTTACTACCTCTACTATTCTCGGATTTAACGTGACAAATTCATCTCTTTGTGTTAATGGGGTACGGCAAGTTGAACCGATGTACATACTTACAGGTTCTACGTTGTGACTGGCTGAGTTTCAGTTGCCACACAATATTAGCATAGCGAAATTGAATGGTCAAGAACAATGATACAGTAGTAATACCACTGGTAGTAGAAAAGAACAAGCATAAACAATGTGATTCGGAGTATAAGATAATCTTAAAACTCAAGATATCCAGTGTTAAATGAACCTGCGTCATGGCGACTGATTCTGAGCCATATCACCCAATATTTCCAACCATTGGCTATGATAATCACGCAGACTTTAAGCCGGTAGTCTGGGCCTATAAACACTGCTCAAAGCAACACTTAATGACCACATGGGCTGATGCCATGACCTGTATTGATAGATCTTAACTTTCTGCCAACCTAGTGTTACATTAAGAGGAATTGCCACACTAAAGCCAAACACCAGATGGTTAACATAGTTTTGTTAATCAACTGAATTATTACTATTTGTAAGTTTGCAGTTTGTCATTTTTAATATTTGAAACGGAACCTGTGATGGCATATGGGCTTCTTGAGCAAATGACTTAATACCTCCCGTAGCTAAAAATTGATCAAGATAGTGGGTGACGGTAGAATTTGAGGCATCCGTTCACTTCGGTTTTGAACTAGTCAGCTGAATGCACCTGCATCTCAGTGATAGTTTTCACAATGAGATTCGAATCAAGTACCATTCAATAGCTTTGGGTGCCAGTGTATCATTTATCCACAATATATAATCGAGCACACATTTATTTTCCAGGCTTCCAATCACAGTGTATGGAGGCTAAAAAGTGACCCCGCTGTCCAGATCCTGAAGCAGGTAGAGCAGGGTTCGAACCCGTCCCACTTAAATATGAAAATAAATTGGCGCCAATATGTAATATGTAATGAGATCCAAAAGTTGCTGGAGAGTGTTAAAAACTACGGAATCAACTGAATATGGAAATTCAACTAGTTAGTTTAATGTACAAACTACACCTATTCGGCCGAATAAGTATGCCATATGACTTCAGTCACTGATTACCACTTGGCTCTTTTTAAATCCATAATCAGAGGAAAAAAGACAGTCAGAAATATGCAAAATCGTTTATAAGCACAATCATTATTTAATGAGTTGAATGCAAATTGATCCCCTTGAGTGAACATTTTTGTAAGGGACATAGTTCTCATTAGGATATAGATGACTAGTTATAAACCTTCTGTATTCACTGGCTTATAAGCAATGGAAAATGCCATGGTCATAACCTAGCGTCACACTGGTTTCACAAAAATCATTTTGAAAACATTGAGAGAGCGCTAGATATTAAGGTACCCCCTTAGTCAACGCAATTATGCACAAATAACTAACGTTGAAGAATGCTGTAAAGAACAGTAAGTATTCTATAAATAAAAACCTCAATAATATATATGATGAATTGTCTTACTCTAAAATTTTTGGACGAGCATTAGCAGAGTTCAAATTGACGTTATCATCTGTTAACGTTGTCATTATAGGTGAATATGCCCATCGAACAACCGCTTCCGGATCAATCAAACCAACGCGACACATGTGTTCTGTAATAATGACAATCATTTGTGGATTATTAGCCCAGACCGCTTGAATTACATGTAAAGCTTCTACTTGAGTTTCAACGGTAGATGTAAGAGTCCGGATGACAGCAGCATACCTAAATATTAAACACAAAACAAATGGGAATGAGAAGGTATGCCGATATCGCATTGTGAATTTCCCTTTCTTTATATCAAGATACTATAAAATTGAATTTCGAAATGTAAACCTTCTGAAATTAGTTTAGACAACACCATCCAGCAAAGCTTCGAAAAAAACCCAATGAAGCTGAAGCAGCGTTAACTGAAATCTCAGGTAAACTCTGGTCGGTCGTATTCTACTACATAGCAATCTAGTATATGATTTGAGTTTCTTTAACCTGATTGACTTCTACCGACCGATGTGCAATATAAACGATTTTTAGTTTTTGTGAACACATACGACTCATTCGAAGGTTAACGTTTGGATTTATTTGAATCCAAGTTTCGCAATCCCTACCCTATATACCTTCAAGATGAATTGTCCATTTATCTTGATATTCAGACTGAAACGAATAGTCTGATTCCTCTACTTTACCAGTTTTAACGTGATAGGTTCACAACAGACAACTATTCTAAATGAGCTCTCAAGCGAGGGTTATCTTCAAAATTAAACATTAATTGGAGAAGGTATGGAACGTGTGTTGAGAAATCCAAAATAACACAGTTCGGAAACTAACTTTTTTATGAACGCAAATGTGTGACTGATTGTTTTATGACCAGCGATCAACATAGCAGAATAAAATAATTCAATAGCTAAATTTGTCACTCCAGGAGAAAGTTCAGACACTTGGGCTGCTGTGGTAAATGGCAACTTTTCGATAGAATCACTTCTTACGCCGACCTGTTCATCGGCATTACCTTCTGATGATATTTTCAAATTACGTTTCATTGCACTCTCCCGTAACATTCGTCGACGCGCTTTAAGACGAGCACGAATTTCTTGTTTAGCAGGCTCAGCATCATCTAGGTCATCAAACTCAGGATCTGACAGGGGAATGGTATCAATGGGGCTTTTTCCACGACGCTCCTCATCACTATGATCAGAGTGACTATCATCACTAGATGCATCTTCATCTTTCTCATCTCTTACCCCATCATTATCAAATGGTTCTGATAGTGAAAGACGCCGACCACGACTTTGTGAGGCAGTTTCAGCTATTCTTAAGACGGTTTGGGGTTCAAGGCGTGCTCGGATAGAATCCACTAGACGGAAGAATGCACGTGCAGAAGACAAATCTATAATGGAAAATAGTGAGGAAACATAAACTAGAGGAAATGACTATAAAAGAAATACTTAAACCATACATGACTCCATACGAAGCAAAACAGGCAATACAGTTTGTATCATTCAACAAGATTTCCAAATTAAGATTTTTATCCCATAAGCTTTTATAAATCTCTTTATTAAACGCATAAGACTGGCAACATACGTAAAGCGTCTGTGTTGGCTTGTACACTAAATATCACGGGCCTAAACGAAGTAAGATAATTATCAAAACTATTTGATTACCGAGACCGTGTAAGTGGGGTGGAATTCAAATCTGATAATAAATAATTGGAATCAGATATCTAAAATTACAAGGTCACAATTCTATATCGTGATAACGAATAAATAAATTATTGAAATCTACATGCTTGTGTGTTGGAGTTAAAATGATGTGTTTATAAAGGGAAATGCTTTTATGTATAAAACTTCCTGTTTGAAGAAAAACTGCGTAGAACTTCATTTGATTCATGTGTACGTTACTAAGTCAATTTTATCCTTGTTTTTTAAATCTAAAAAGATTTTGAAACTCTTCATATGCAGTTGTCAGTTATCTATTTTAATAAGCAAAATCTTGAATAAGGTTTTTGGGTGACAAGAGATTAAACAGCTTAGGAATTAGAATCCCTTTATAAAATAGCCAAACTATAAAGTGGGTTCAGAAGTGTATAAACGAACAAATAAGAACAACTTACTGACATTACTTGTCATATTGATATTTCAATTTAATAAAAATACCTATGTTATTGAAAGATAGTCCTTTGGGAGTGCATCTGACTTGAACGTTAATCGATCTCCGATTTATTTCGTTGTTTACTTAAACTGATCCCGTTGTGCCATCATATTAGCTAGAGAAAGTGATATTAAGTCCTATATGAAATGTGTTGGGAATATATGTATTTCAGACTGGGTACTGTGTAGATAAAACCAGTGACGAGAAAAAATTGAATGAAGGAATGAGTTATGTGGTTTGCGAATTTGACACATAAATCAACCTATAAATTTTTTAATGAGTTTACATACTTTAAAAAAGCTAATTTGTAAATGGATAAAAAAGCAAACACATATACTAAGGATGTACATACATGGAGGTTAACGATTAATTTTATGCGAGAATAGGTACAAGAGGATTAATAGGATTAACAATGACACATTTAAAATTCACCACTGTTGAGCCTTTTAACCAGTTCAAACAAAGACAAGCCTAAGTAGTTATGGTGCTGATACAGCTAACACTACATCTTAAGGATTCAAATATTAATTACCTGGATTACTTTCATATTTATTGATTACCGTAGGTTGAGGTGGTAACATTATATAAAAAGATTTCGGAAGTAAACGTTTGACGTTCTCGTAGTATGAAAAACTAAAACAAAAAATGTAAAATACAAGATGATAACTAGCTGTAAATGTACAGAAAAAACCCTGGTATAATAACCAGTTCTTACGTATAATTCAGTCCAGTCATAAACATTAATGTAAAACTTAGTACAGATGTGCAATGATCTGAAATTACCATACCGAAGAAGTAAAATCAGATGAGTTGAACAAGTGAACAATAAAGGAGTCGGATTAATAGAGGTAATAGTAACAACAAGAAAAATGGGCTAAAAGTACAAAATACGGGGCTGGGAAAGAAAGAATAAATTTGCACGATCAAAATGTTAAATAATCTTTAAATTCGGAATTTTCGAGAAAACAGAAAAACATGAATGACATTGATTTTAAGTCTTGTCACTTAAGATCTACTATTATTGATTTCGACTACTGTTTGGATCCTAACAAAGTGGTTTGCACCTATTAACGTCAATAATTTCAAAGACTAATAGATATGTTTTGGGTTGAATGCCTCTAGCAGTTTCTCTAAACCCACCTACCCCTACATCAGACAGGGCTATAGGTTGACGTAAGAGGTGCTCCGATATACGTAGCACATGTGCTCAATCATCTTAACCAATGAAGATTCACAATTTTATCAAATGATTTTTCATCTTTACACAGTAATTACATTTGAAGTAACGAACAATCATGTGATATCTTAAATTAACATGAATATTGCTTCTATGTTACGATTAAAATCATAAACAATTCAACAACTGTCCTATCTATTCTGCAATTTTGTTATACAGTTTAGAAATTTCAAAAACATAACTGCATATAGTACCATGTTTTCCAACTTGCAGATTAGTACACATCGAAATATTAGCAAGAATACATATAATGGTAATAAATCATCTCTTGGTTTTTATCTATCTATCTATCTATCTATCTATCTATATATGGATTTACTTAAATGTAACAAAGATTTTTAATTTCGCGGATAAATTTTACAGTTTAACTTACTCTTAGTCTTTATAATATTTCGATATGATGAAGTCTTTGAGTGTACCAAATATGTGGTTCAGTGTTATCAAACCATTACAATAATAATAATAATAATAATAATAATAATAATAATAATAATAATAATAATGACAATCCTGTCTAAGAATACATGTCATACAGAAATATACTAACCGTATTAATCGACATAATGTTTCGGTAATTAAACGCTTTTGTGGAGACATCGGATCTAGAGTTAGAGATGAAGACCACTCTTTCCAACTCCACTGCAATTGATAATTACTTAAATGATATGAAAACCATTCAATAAACCTACAGGATAACAGTAATAATAATAATTTAAATGTCTGAAGTAAAAGGGTGTTGAAGCAGTACTGATATTTCAGCTGGATAAAGCAATAGTTTAGTGAATAAAACACTTGGTTTGCAATCTACTGGTGTTAGATTCGAGTTTTATTAGTAGGAGAAGTCAAATTTCCAAACAAAACGATTTGGATTTTGAGTCACATATTTCTTAATGTGTTAGGGATGGTGATATTCGATCGACTATTCAAAGCGAAGTGAAGTGGAGCTCGAACCAGTAACTTAGTAGTCTCAGGCCAAGATCTTTAACTACTAAATCATCGCTTCCCAATGTAGAGCTTAGTATCATGTTCGCCTAACCAGCAAATACAAATCCTTTACGGTTCTATCTCTTACAAATAGAATATCAACAATATTTTTATCTCATAATTCCAGGAATTCCTAAGATATCAAACCAGTCCTGGTAGGGTGGAAGGTGGAGATTCCCCTCTCTCTCAAAATCCCTTCATATGGTCACGCGTTTACATCCATTGATAGAAATGTCTTGCTACTCACTGAAGTCCAGCGGTAGGGCTTTGTTTACGGAGGTGAGCAGTCGAAAAGCGAAAGCCCGGCTCTTGCTGGGTTGGTGGATACGGAGGACCTACCCTAAAGTAAAACTGATTACAAACAAATGGTACTCATGAGCTCCAGGAACCTAAAGGGACGAATGACAAATGAACATATCTTTAGCCACCGGTTGACATAGATTGCATCTCCTAACTTTGTTTAGTTGCCTTGTTGATTAGTCTTAGGTCTAAGACTTATCGAATAAGCCCTTAAGAAAACCACCTGTATATCATTGGTCGCCTACATATAAATATAGTGAGTACAGGGACTCTGTTAAATATTCGTCCAGGACAGCTGGGCGTTAGTATTTTGCTAAGCACCAGAACACTAGCATTATTCAACTGTATGCTTATTAACAGTCATTTATGTGCTGCTATATAATAAAGCTCCATCGAAATGAGAGGAAAACTATATAGGGAACAATGTCTTTCCGTAATCTCCGCCTATCCCCCGACAGGTTATTGACCCAAATAAACAAAGGATAAGTGGTACCATCATTTGAATGACCTCAGGAGAACGCATGCGACAGATATTATAATGCTACTCGGAGATTAGAATGTACAGGTCGAGTGTCCGTGCAAAGAGGATAGCTGTTAGTGTCCACCGTATACTCGCTGATTGCGAATCAGATAACAATGACCGTCCCAAATAGGACGAAACGCAACTTCATGAAACGGTACAATTGTGAGCACTGCGTTTGCGCAGATTCCTTACAATTTTTGCTAGCAAGTGGGTCAACATTGCCTAATCGCGAGTTAGATGATAAACAGATACATCATTAACTGTGTAGTTTGCTAACGGATCGAGAAATCTGGAGTTTTTTGGAAGCAACAGTTAGATTTAGTTAATCCCTGAATATGTTTCAACTCATCCAGGAAGTCTGACGTAGATGAATCAATCTGTGAAGATGGAATGACAATCAATAATGGGGAAGGGCATCCCTAAGAAATTTATCAACATCATGAAGACAGTACACACAATTAGTCCCCTCCATTGTTCCTTTTTAGCAGCGGCGTTAAGCAGGTTTTCCCAATCTCAATATTCTTCTTTAACGTTGTCATCGGTGACATTTTAAAAACAGCTCTGATGGAAGTACGTGGTAGTGAGGAAAATATTTGGTCTTGAGTATGCAAATGATGTTGTCTTATGTTGTGATACATCAGCTTCATAAATCGCACTTAGTTGACAATTAGTGATAATATAGTATATACTTTACACCTTATAAACCCAAAGTACTTTTACAAGACTGACAAGAGCCTGTGGCTGCACTCACTCTTCGTAGTGAGCTGTTAGAAGTAGTCAAAAAGTCTGCGTGTCTGGGTAGTTGTGTGAATGTTATTGGTGCTGTTAATGATGAGATTAATGTACGTACAGCGAAAGCCAGAGTGACTTATGACAATCAGTGTTATATCTGTGGTGCTGTAGTAATATTGGAATGGTTGTAAAAGGTCGGATTTACGTGTCAATGAGAACATGTGCATAATAGTGTATCTAAAGTGCTTTGTTGTTATTAAAATGTACAGTTGGATGTTTAGAGAAATAATCAGTAATGAAGCAACACTAAGAGTGGCAATAGTGGTCAACAGGGGAAACTCACATCACTATAAGTTTAAACATAAATATTAATTTTAGAAAGATAAACAATGTATGTGACTTATATCACATTAGTCAGTCAATCACAGATATGACAATAAATCTGAACATGAAATCATAATCAAATGTAGTCCTA